ATGAGCTTTATTTGTTATCACTACGTGATGATGGTTTAGGCCATATTTCGAGGGGAAGAATAGAAAGACTAGTTAAGAATGATATTCTTCCTCCATTAGAGCTCTCAGATTTAGAACAATGCAGAAAATGCATTAAAGGAAAGTATGTAAAGAAAATTAAGAAAGATGCCAAACGAAGTGCAAGAATTCTACAGATTATTCACACAGACATCTGTGGTCCATTTCCTATAAAGAGTGTGGATGGTTATGATTCGTTCATAACATTCACAGATGATTACTCCTGTTATGGCTATATTTATCCAATCAAAGAAAGAACAGAAGCATCGGATAAATTTAAGATATTTAAGGCAGAAGTTGAAAACTAACACAATTTAAAGATTAAGATAGTCAGGTCCGACCATGGGGAGGGAGTACTATGGTCGGCATACCTCATATGGCCAAGTTCCTAGACCTTTTGCAAGGTTCTTACAGGAGAATGGCATAGTAGCCCAGTATTCTACACCGGGCGAACCTCAGCAGAATGGAGTAGCTGAAAGGCGCAATCGTACCCTGATGGATATGGTGCGTAGTATGATAAGTTACTCCACCTTACCGATGAGCCTGTGGATGGAGGCGTTAAAAACTGCCATTCATATTCTCAATAGAGTACCAAGTAAGTCGGTGCCCAAAACACCGTATGACCTATGGACAGGAAGAGTACCCTCACTAAACCACTTATGTGTGGGGGGGAGTCCTGCTGAGGCTAAAGTATTTAACCCAGACATTGGGAAGCTAGATCCCAAAACAGTGAGTTGCCATTTCATTGGTTACCCAGAAAAGTCAAAAAGTTTTTGTTTCTACTGTCCAGACAGACATACAAAGTTTGTGGAAACGAGACACGCAGTCTTTCTAGAGGATGAAATGATGAGGGAGAGTATGGTAGCTCAAGAAATTGACCTTGAAGAGAAGCGGGTGTATGCGCCCACTCGGATGATTCATGAGCCATTTTTCTCACTACCTGCTGTCGCAGCACCGACAGTGAAAGATACTGTGGTGCCAGCACCTGTTGTTATTCCGCCTGTGGCAACAATGAATGATGATGAGGAACCTGTTCTTCAGGATCCTGTAGAACCTATTGCCACAAATGAGGGGGAGCAACAACAACCTCAAATAGAAGATGTGCCAAATGTGGAGGCCCCTAGAAGGTCTCAAAGAGTTAGAAAATCAGTTATTCCTGCTGATTATGAAGTGTACAACAGTGAGGAATTTCAAATGGAGGATGATCCCACCTCATTTGAAGAAGCCATGAGAAGTGATCATTCATCAAGGTGGCTTGAGGCTGTGGAAGATGAAATGAAATCTATGAATGCCAATAAAGTTTGGGATTTGGAGATAATTCCTAAAGGAGCCAAAACAGTAGGCTGTAAATGGGTCTACAAAACAAAACTTGACTCTCAAGGGAATATAGAGAGATATAAAGCACGACTTATGGCAAAAGGCTTTACGCAAAGAGAAGGGATTGATTACAATGAGACCTTTTCTCCAGTCTCATGTAAGGATTCCTTCAGAATTATAATGGCACTAGTGGCACATTACGATTTAGAATTACATCAGATGGATGTAAAGACGGCATTTCTCAACGGGAACTTGGAGGAAAATGTTTACATGGCACAACCGAAAGGTTTTGTCATGGAAGTAAAAGAACGAATGGGATGCTGCCTAAAGAAATCCATTTATGGATTAAAACAAGCTTCAAGACAGTGGTACTTGAAGTTTGATCAGACAATAAGGAATTTTGGGTTTAAAGAGAATGTAGAGGACAATTGTGTCTATACAAAGTTTAAGAATGGGAAGTTTATCTTCCTTGTCCCGTACGTGGATGATATCTTACTTGCTAGTAGTGATGTCAGTCTACTACTATAGACAAAGAAGTTTTTGTCCTCAAAATTTGATATGAAAGATCTTGGTGAAGCTTCGTTCGTTCTAGGAATCGAGATTCACCGAGATAGAAGTAAAGGGGTATTAGGACTGTCACAAAAGGCATACATAGAAAAGATCTTAAAGAAATTCAGTATGCACAAATGTAGTCCCTCACCTGTTCCTGTAGTCAAGGGCGACAAATATGGGGATTTTCAACGCTCTAGGAACCAATATGAGATCGATCAAATGAAAATGGTTCCATATGCTTCAGCTGTCGGAAGCTTGCAATATGCTCAATTATGCACGCGCCCTGACTTGGCATTTGTTACCAGGTTACTTGGCAGATTTCAGAGCAATCCTGGAATAGAACACTAGAAATTGGTAAAGAAAGTCTTGCGTTGTTTGCAAGGAACGAAAGGCCTCATGATGACGTATAGAAGATCTAATTCACTCCATATAGTGGGATATTCAGATTCTGATTATGCGAGAGATGATAGAAAATCCACGTCTGGATATGTATTCACTCTCGCAGGGGGAGCTATTTTATAGAAAAGCTCAAAGCAAACCGTCACTACATCGTCCACAATGTGTGCCGAGTTTGTAGCGTGTTATGAGGCAACGGGGCAGGTGAACTGGCTAAAGAAGTTCATACCCTGTTTGAAGGTGGTTGACGACATCTATAAACCACTTAAGTTATACTGCGATAATAATCCGGCAGTACAGTATGCTCACAACAATAAGTCAAGTGGTGCTGCCAAACACATTGACATAAAGTATTATGTTATGAAAGATAAAGTCCGGGATGAAGTCATAAGTCTTGAGCATATAAGTACCGAAAAGATGCTAACGGATCCGCTTACAAAAGGCTTACCACCCAACGTGTTTAGAGAACATGTAGTCGGCATGGGTTTAAGGGAAAGTCTATAATTCCTGGACAAAAGAAGGCCCAAAGATAAGTATCTATTTCAAAATAGAGTGGTGTGTTGTAACTGTTAAATCTATCGGCAATGGACCGTGATGATGAAACATGTTCTATGCGCTAATCTGTAATGGAATGAACAAAAGTAAATGATATAAAAGTGAAAGATGGAAAGAGATCAAGGGGGGATTGTTAGATTGATCACTAATCCTAACTGGACCCAACGGCCCAGTTGGGCCTTTGATTCGAGGGGGGGCCCAGCCCACCATGGCTGGAGGGCCCCTGTCACCCTATGCTATAAAAAGAGGTGGGGGCCAGTGGCTCTTATCACGAGGTTCGCCTGAGCCGAGTTCCCCACCGACAAACCCTAAACCTGATCTAAGTGAGGGGCGCAGCCAGTGACGGGAAGTACCTCCACCACTGCACTGCGCCGCCATCGATCTTCACCGCCGGCACCGCATCTCCGACCCGTCTTCTCCGACCATGGCTACCCGTGCACAGACTTCACCAACGAACCCAATGGCGGCCTCTGGATCATCCCCCTCCGCGGTGTCAGGTTCGTCAGCCCTCATCCACCCCTCTCTATTTCTCTCTCATTGCATTAGAACGTGTTCTAGGTCTTTGATTCATCAAGCACCCCGGCTAGATCTACTCCTAGTGATCCTATAAGTCTAACAAGAACTTCTCATGGAGATAGCCGACAAGTACATCTAAAACTTATATATCATGTAAATGCCTATGGCCAAAATGTTTGTTCAGGTACGCTTGTTCAGATAAATAAATGGAGACAGAAGTTTGAAGTAACACAATGAAATAAGATTAGATTCTCTATCCAATGCATCCAGAAGAAAACTTCTGACATGATTGTAAGGTTCTCTAATTTTGGGGAAGAAGTTTGGGATTGAGTAAAATGCATCGGAGGTCCATTAACTTTCGTGGGGGTGTCATTTAGGCCCATCAACTTTGAAACTGTATTTTTGGGTCCATGAACTTTTAAATTGGTTCACAGGTCCATACCCATTTATTTAACCTTAAATCCAAAGTACATTTGCAGAAAACCCCATACCTTTCTTTATCTTGTACGCGCTCACCCTTCTTGCTCAACGCACCCAGGAAGTGAAGAATGCATCCTCGTCCCCAGTGAACGCTCACCACGACCTGCTCCTCGGCGGGCTTCTCTCGCCAGACTTCGACGCAGCGACGTGCCTCAGCCGGTATGAGGCATCCAAGCGATGGAAGACGCCGTCGCCATTCCTGATCTCCCCTTCCCTCATCCAGAAGCTGAGGCAGTACGAGTCGAACCATCGGCGGTGCGGACTGGGCACCGCGAACTACCACGAGGCCATGGCGCAGCTCACATCCGGCCGCAACGGCGACCTCACCGAATGTAGGTACGTGGTGTGGTTCCCCATCCAGGGCATGGGCAATCGGATGCTCAGCATCGTCTCCACCTTCCTCTACGCGCTGCTCATCGGCCGCGTCCTCCTCGTCTACGAACCCCCTGAGATGGAGGGGCTCTTCTACGAGCCATTTTCTGGGGACCTTGTGGATCCTGCCACCGGACTTCTCCTACAAGGACGGCTTCTAGGTCGGCTCAAGTGACAGCTACCTGCACTTGCTTGAGAACAATGTCTTCCGCTACAACGATAGCGGCGGCGTCGGCGACGCCAGCGCGCTGCCGCCCTACGTCTACTTCCACCTGGAGCAGATACAGCTCCGGCTCCAAAATCACACATTCTGCGAGGACCACCACGTGCTCAACAGGTTCAACTGGATGGTGCTCCGGTCAGATAGCTACATCGCCGTGGCGCTGTTCCTCATGCCCATGTACCGGGCCCAACTGGACCTGATGTTCCTGGCGAAGGCGTCCGTGTTCCACCACCTCGGCGAAGATGTGGACTCCGACAGCAGCCTCAAACTGTTCGATTGATTTTGCTCCTGCATAGATGCTTGCTTCTGCGCAATGGTACTATCTATCTGTACATTAGTGGAAATGAACAAATCCACAGAAATAGCACACGAATTCGAGTCATAAAAATATCCTTTTTCATTATTGCTGTTTCACTCGGGGTGAACAAGTTTGAGCCCCCAGCTCATGTCTTCACAGTGTTGGACATGCGGCACCAGCTTTCCCGTATCAGCGCCGTGCTTCGCCCTGCAGTCGTAGAACGGCGGCCCGACCATGGCGTACGCCGACGTGAAGGCGCACAAGGCCGGCAAGGGCGCGCTCGAGTGCGCGGTCTGCCTCAACGAGTTTGACGACAACGAGATGCTACGTCTGCTGCCCAAGTGCCCCCACGTCTTCCACCCGGACTGCATCGACACGTGGCTCACCTCGCACGTCACCTGCCCCATTTGCCACGCCAACCTCGTCCCCGGCACCGACGACAACGCCTAGCCGGCCGACGACGACGCGCCTAAGCTGCAACTACTGTCGGCGGCTCCCGCGCAGGAGCTGCCGCCGCCGCCCACACCATGCGAATTGCCGCCGCTTCCGCCGCTGCGGTGGTCATTAACGTGGAGGAGACACGGGAGAGAGATCATCATAGAGGAGACCGACGAGCTGATGCGCATCGGCAACGCGTGAAGCGCCGCGCCGCGCTCCCAAGTCCGACCGCGCGCCAAGACGGTTCCCGCCAAGACACTCCACGTGGCACTTTCGCTTAGCGATCGCGCGTCTCGCCACCACTAGCACGGCACCGTGCCGCACCGAGAGGTTCACGCCAGTGTCCGCCCGACCACGTGCTCGGGACCTCGCCACAAGGGCGAGGAAGCTCCAGCCACACCACGAGCCTAGTCGCGTTTCGCTCCGGCCAGCAGTGGCAAAGACTCGTCGTGGCGCGTGCCGTCAGATCAAGGGCAGCGGTGGCGAATTTGTGGGTTGTGTTTTTTCGGGTGCGTTGAGCAGGAAGGGTGAGCGCGTAGAAGATAAAGAAAGGTAGGGGGTTTTCTACAAATATACTTTGGATTTAAGGTTAAAAATGGGTATGAACTTGCAGTGAACCATTTTAAAAGTTTATGGACCTAAAAATACAGTTTCAAAGTTGATGAAACTAAATGACACCCCCACGAAAGTTAATGGACCTCCGGTGCATTTTACTCTTTGGGATTTATGTCTAGGGTTTCGAGATTTTAGAAGAATTGACTTAGTTTGCAAATTTGATTTCAATTATGGCGACCACCCATTCGCAGTGCTAAGCGAAACCCTAGATACTAATTGGGCTAACTAGAACAACAATTAGCTTGTAAACTTTTTAAATTTTGACTAATAGAGGCACAATTACCCTTAATCCAAAGGATTTAGGGCTTAACATAAGCAATTAAATATGGAATTAGTCATATAGAGATATAATCTGAACTTAATTATTACTTAATTGAAAATTAGGGTTCACAGATAGGCTAAACGGCTTTGATACCAAATGATAGACTCAATTCTTAATCAAGATCTTAATTAGCCTAATCACATGAATACCTAATCCATAGTTAGCAGAGAAGTACCTAGGTCTACCGACGGCAGTTGGCAGGTCTACCTCCGAAGCCTTTGAATTCATGCCATCTAGAATTCGGAATTTGATTGGCAATTGGAGCGACAGGGAAGCAAAGAATTTTTTTTAAAAAAAATTAAAATTTCTTTGCCGAGGGCCTGCGGGGAAGCCTTTGGCAAAGGTTTTTTTTTTAAAAAGAATAATTCTTTGCCGAGGGCCGTCCCATTGCCCTCGGCAAAGATTTTTTGGAAAAATTCTGCAACATTTCTTTGCCGAGGGCCATGGTTGGAGGCCCTCGGCAAAGATTTAAAAAAAAAGAATAATTTTTTGCCGAGGGCCTCCGGAGACGGCCCTCGGCAAAGACTCCGTCCCAGGCGCCGGCGCCGTGACGGCTGCTTTTCTTTGCCGAGTGCCGCTCCAGCCCTCGGCAAAGGCTTTGCCGAGTGCCCGATAAAGGGCCCTCGGCAAAGACCCTCTTCATCGACTTAAAATTCCCCGAGAGCTCTTTACCGAGGGCCGCCCTCGGCAAAGCCTTTGCCGAGGGTTAATGGGCCTTTGCCGAGGGCCTCAGGCCCTCGGCAAAGAGGCAGTCTCAAGTAGTGTTCCCTCCCAGCGCAGCTCGCAATGACGTGAATGTGTCAAGTGTTTCTGAGAATGAGATTTGGAAGAAAATTTGGAGACGACTCGACAAATTCTACACCATAGACATGTTGAGCCAACTGCTTTCTGTGAGGTTTGTGGTGCTAACGAGGAATCAATAAGACATGTATTGTCTGAATGCACGGTGGCTCGGGCGTTTTGGAATCAGGCTAAGGACCTAACTGGTGTCAAACTCCCGGCATTCCATCCTGTAACGTGGGCGCAGGACTTACTGTGTGGGAGGGCTGGTTCTAAACAAAATCAAACGATGATCATCGTTGGAATGTATTCGCTGTGGATGCAGAGAAATAAGAGGAGACATGGGGAGCAGTCTGCCGATCAGAGCGGCAGTTCAGTGGGCAGCGGATATGGCGTTTGATCTTTGGCATCTCACGCGACCCCCGATAGTGACCACGACGTTGAAGTCGGACCAAAGCTGGAAGATGCCACTGTCGGGGTGGATTAAATGTAATACTGACGGCGCTTTCTATGAGCATTGGAAAGGAGCATCAGGTGTTGTGCTTCGGAATGACAATGGTGACTTCGTTAGAGGCAGCGCCAAGTGGTATGGAAACTGTCTTGACGCCTTAACCATGGAGGCTTTAGCCTATCGCGACGGACTGGTGCTGGCGCAACAGGCGGGTGCCCAACGGGTATGGCTGGAATCTGACTGTCAGGAGTTTTTGAAGCTGTGGTCAGTGGGTGAAAACAACGCTCCAGTGTGGTGACGATACTGAAGGAAATCCGCGAGTTGAGCTCTTTGTTTCATGAGTTTAAGTTTTCTTTCGTTAGTAGATCTTGTAACAAAATAGCTCATCTTCTAGCAAAACAGGTCACAGGCGAAACACAGGTCGGGTGGTGGCAATTTGCACCGGACTGTGTCTCGGCCTTGATGGCTGCTGATTGTAATTCAGAAATTGATCAATGAATGAAGCCACTGTCGAAAAAAAAATCCATAGTTAGCATTTAATCACACGTAATTAGCACTAAACCATGTCCAACGACGATGCCCTAAGGGGCTTGTCTAAGAGGCATGGCGCCGATCTCCTTTAGTGGTTGTCGGTGGTGAAGACTCATATGCCGTCACACCGTGATGATCGGTAGTTGGCTCAGGTCTATAGAGCTGAGCCCAAGCTCCCACCGGATCGGTTAGGTCAGTCTCAGTGGAAGTTTCATAAGAGTTTCATTTGTATTTAATAATCTGCCACATATGTACTTTTGATGACATGATAATGTTTTGATTAAGAGAGAGAAGAAATGAGTTTCATGGGGATGAAACTCTCTTCGTACGATTACGGACTCTCTATGAGTCTTAGAATTAAATGCCTATGAAACTATAGAATGAAACTTTTGCATTGAGAGTGGGTGTTTCATCCAGTTTTCAATTCATTCTATATGATATGAAAGTCTTGGAAATAGCGCAATGAAACTCTCCACTCACACTGGCCTTAGGGACCTAGGATTAATAAGTGACTACAGCTGGAGAAAAAAAAAGATAATCTTAGATGTTGTGGCCCTCTCCATTCTTATAGCACGTGTCAGCCTGGGGTCAGACCAAATGTGATCAGCTAGCACATCATGGATAGTCATTAGTCAAGACTGATCTACTCTGAGGGATGGCAGGTACTTCCTCTGCTCTGAATAAATTAACTTCGAGAGTTGTTCGAAGTCAAAAAAAAATTAAGTTTGATCTAATTTATGTGAAAAGGCGCAAAGATTTATGCCATCAAATTAATATCAATAGGTACACTATGAAATGTGAAATATATTTTTCATGATTTGTTCATTTGATGTCATGCTATATCTTTCTGTTTGGTTCAACTTGAAAAAGAAATGATTTATTCAGAGACGAAGGAAATATTGTCTTGATGATCAATCTAAAGAGCTCCTACCATTGAGTTTAAAAACAAAAGGTGTCCATCAAGCATGACTTTTTTTTCCATGGCACCGGGTTACAACTTACAAGACGAGGGATGTATCGCCTCTTCCTCCTCCGTGGCACCTGGTTACAAGACGAGGGATGTTTCGCCTCTTCCTCCTCCAATAATCTTAGGTGTCAGCCTTAGGGACCTAGGATTAATAAGTGGCTACAGCTGGAGAAAAAACGATAATCGTAAGTGTTGTGGCCCTCTCCATTCTTATAGCACGTGTGGGTCAGACCAAATGTGATCAGCTAGCACATCATGGATAGTCATTAGTCAAGACTGATCTACTCTGAGGGATGGCAGGTACGTCCTCTGTCTTTGAATAAATTAATTTCTAGAGTTATTTGAAGTAAAAAAAAATTAAGTTTGATCTAATTTATGTGAAAAGGCACAAAGATTTATGCCATCAAATTAATATCAATAGATACACAATGAAATATATTTTTCATGATTTGTTCATTTGATGGCATGCTATATCTTTCTATTTGGTTAAATTTGAAAAAAATAATAATTTAAGGTAATTCTAAAAATTGATTTATTCAGAGATGAAGGAAATATTGCCTTGATGATCAATCTAAGAGAGCTGCTACCATTTTGTTTAAAAACAAAAGGTGTACATCAAGCATGACTTTTTTCCGTGGCACCAGGTTACAAGACGAGGGATGTTTCGCCTCTTCCTGCTCCGTGGCACCTGGTTACAAGAGAATTTTTTTTAATTTTAACACTTTTTCGAAACTAATTTTAAATCTAACACTCTCGGGTTTTTTTAAAACTAACACTTTTGGTCGCGCCTATTGCCCTGGCGCGGCCAAATGCCTGTGCCGCGCCATGCATGGTGGCGCGGCAGAGGGCTGACGTGGCAGCGACCAGAAGCGTTGACCGTTGATGTGGCAAGGCTGCGCGCCACATCGATCTTAAGCGCGGCAGGTGCGCGTCGTCGATCCGTGGCACGCAGCAAAGCCGGTATAACCTCTCCCATGCGCGCCCGCGTGCGAAAAGCGATCGTCGTTCCCAGCGGTGCGGCAAAGCAGCTGCGCCGCCATTGCCGCCGCCCGCCTACCGCCACCGCGTGCCGCCGTCCGCCACGGCCGCGTCCGCCCACGCCCGCCAGCCCGCCCACACCAGCAAGCCAGCCGCATCCGCCCGCCCGCGCCAACCAGGCAGCCGCCGGCCGCCCGGTGCACCCGCCGCGCCCGCACGCCGCGCGCCTCCCCCTCCGGCCAGAACCTCCGGTCACGCACGGCGGCTGCCCGCCTAGGCCTGCGCCCCCGCCTCCCGGCCTGGTCTTGCGCGCTGCAGCGAGGTACTCCACTAATATAGTTAGCACAGTTAATAAAGTTCATAAAATT